CAGCATTTGTATGAAGTCTCAGACTGCTTCTGAGTTATTCACTGTCTTATAAATGGGCTGCTATAGCATTCCATGTTCATGGGGTGCTATAAAAGGCTTTTAAAATCAAATCCAGGCAGCCTCTGCAGAGGCTCTAGAGAAGGTACCATCTGGTCTTCCTTTAAGCAGCTCTTCTTTATTACTGATATGATCATTCATATCCTTAAGACTCTGAAACCTTCATTAAGAGAGTTCAGCCTTCCTAACTAGCAAAGCAAGTTCTTGTCATTACCCTTGATCAATTGGAATTGATCTCTTGTGTGTCTGTTCATTCAGACCTCACTGAATATCCTCTTTAATTCTCTTTCTCTGTATTTTTTCAAATGCAGTCCTCATTCAGAAAGAGGACTTCAGCTTGCACTCTGCACTTGCTGCAAAAAAGATGTCGTTTGAGGAAGAAAAGTATTGTAATTTAAAAAAATGTTATTAAAGTAACTTGAACAGTCCTTTACATCTTTAAAGCACTGTGCCAGCTAATTTAATAATTAATCTAAATATACAGTTTTATTAATTTGTACTTATGAGGATTAATCTTAGAAACTTAAAACAAGTTCAAAAACTGTTCTTAAATGGAATTGCAAGTGTGCTACATCAAAAGGAAATTAATTTCCTCACTGCCTTGTTGTGGCAATTAAATTGATTTACGTTGTTTCTGCTGTTTATTTTGCAATGCATGATGTATGTAGGTTACAGCAACAAAATCTTCTGTCTGACACAATGTATGATACTATTTTAGGGTAGATTTATAAAAGGACAAATTATTACTGGAATCAGACCACAAACGGTGGAATAGCTTGTGAAATTCATAAGTTCTTAATGGTCTCAGCTAGAATTACTAGTTTGATGGATTTCTGTAGTCAAAAGGTATAATGATGACCCTAGTGCCCTTCAGAGAGTACAGGTGCTGAAATTCCCTGCAGCCCATGCTTACTTTTGTCAAATGTAATAAAAGACCTTTACAAGTATGGTCAGCTGATTTAATTTGATAAAAGGAAGGTCTCAGAATTATCTGCAGTCATACAGATTTCATGATAATTCTTAGTTGAATTAGGGAGGGTGAGAGATCTAAGTTAGTGCCTTTGCTGAGAGGGAGGAAGGTGGGCAATGACATGGTGCCATCAAGGTTCTGGGATTTGTCTTGTAAGGGGCCCAGGAGAAGCTGGGCTGTTGTGAATTGTTGCAGATCGAGGCGGAGCAATGAGCTGACATCAGAGGAGAATTACCCACAAGAAACCAAGTTTTTTTAGATCCCCTGATTATTGGAAAGCTTAGGTTTTTGGTTATTACTACACTTCTAGATGTTATTGTCTGATAAATGTCCACATCCTTTTCTAAATCCTGCTGGGCTCTTTGCTTTAGTGATACTCTCTGACAGTGCCATCAATGGGCTGTCAGATGGAAGAGCATTTCCTTTAGCCAGTGTAAAACTGACAAAAAATCATTAAAGGAATTGCAGAGCATAAATACTGAATGCAAGGTACTGAATAAACACCTTTAGTTTTCATGATGTCAAGAACTACTGACCAGTGTGGTGATCACCCAACCATCTAGCATAGCCTAGAAATTATCTCTGTTGGTGCACATTTTTTCATCTGGAACTCTGGGTCCACATTGTGGAGATACTGTAGATCTCATCTTGCTTCACTGGGATGTGACTTAACTAGCTAATCTGTGATCTTGATAGTATCAAATCTGCCTGCAGTTAGTCTTAATTTGAAGTTTCCTTAACTGCTTCTTGAGTGGAAAAGCTAACTACTCTTGTTATTCCTGCTGGAACCTTGGAACTCCTCACTGCTCCAGTACTCCGAACGGCTGACCAGCTCTCATACAGTACATTGAAATATTTGTCACAGAAATTTCTGTGGAGCTTGCAGTAGTTGATGAGGTAACTTCTGACAGGGGTCTAGTTCTCTTAAGCTTTTTCAGGACGGTGAGCATACGCAGTGTTCTTGCATTGTGACTAATCACATAAGGGCCAGGGTAGTAACTTGGTGTGTGTTCCCACTTGCAATACAAAGACGAAGACAGGGTTTGCTTAAATGAGTCTGAAAATCAGTAACTTCTAGAGTTCTCTGAACTACCGAACTATTCCTCCAGCTATACCTTGATTTCCTAAGGTCGCACTGCAAAGGAAAGGTAGAAAGGAGGAAACTTGGCTAGTACAGTGCGCTGATCTCTCTTACGATCTCATAGAGGCTACTGGTAGGTAGAAAAATGAGAAAACTTAAATACTAAGTTACAGTGCTGGTTGTGCTCACTTTAGATAGCAAATAGGATGCCTATGATGTGTAGTCAATATAGTCCATGTGACTAGGGAAGAAAGAAATCATGTTTTGGCAGAAAACTTTTGTCTCTTTTTTTTAGAACATTTCTAGTTTGCACCTTGAAGCAAAGAACATCCAAGTAGATACCAAATGTGTTTGCTACAAATGCCTAAACTCCGCATACTTTATATGTATGTAGGTACACAGAAATCTGGCAGCCATATGGGATTTTCACACACCTGTCAGTAAAGTGAGAAAGTTCAAATGTGAAATCTCACATTCTGCACCAGAACGGATGAACAGAGCCCCGAAGCCATGAGTTGTGTGATGAGTGTATCCATTCACTGAGAAGGAAGCAATTTTACTGTGCACCACACTGCTGACTGTTATGGCAGTATCAGCCATAAAATATTTCCCATGGAAAAGTAACATGGAAGTCAGGCTAGCTAAATAAAAATTGCAAATAACTGTGAAAGGGGATAGCAATTTCCTTGGAATCATGGCTCTTGTGTAATACCACAGACTGTGGTTTGTGCATGCCACCTACACACAGCTATGAAATATTGCAGTGTCTCACATTATTGTGATATTGGTCAGTTTTACAAACCTGTACTTCAGTTAACGTGGGCTGAATTGCAGGTTGAGGGTTATGTTGATCAAGGAGATTCATAAAATATTGCTTGTGTCTTAATCACGCTGCTCCAGATTACTCTAAGTCAGTGTCATGTTTACATGGAGTCTTGGGAAGCCTCTTCCAACCCGAATGGTTAAGCAAAACAAAAAAGAAAACAGATGCCATTTAGGGCATTCTGGCACATATGGTTTAAAACCTGCCTTTTATGAAAATAGGTCAGAAAACCCCAATTAGTACACAAGGCAACAAACTGTGGTGCTTATGCCGTTGTAGAGAACCTCCCCAATTTCAAGTGAAATGTGTAAAACCCTGAGAATAGAATTTGGCTTGATAGGGCAGACCCAGTGGCACAGATCTTTTTGCTGCTTCCGAATGAGTCAGGGTCTGTCATTTGGAATATTTTCTGCCCATGTTGGATGATTCCAAATCAGCATCACTGGAGAATCCAATTATTGGATCTCAGCTGCCCTTTCCTCTGAGAAAGAAAGAGACATCAAAACCATTACTTTGATTAAGTCCTGATATGCCCCCCCTATGCTCTGCCACCCAGCTATATACAGCCTTTCTCTCATACAAGCCACTATAGTAAAAGCCAGTAGCACATGCAGGAACACTGCTCATGCCTCTGGCCTTCAGTGAGTTTTTTCTCATATAGTGAAGGTGCCGAACACAAAGAGACCAATGAGGAATGGGGGAGGGGGGGGAAACAAGCAGCTGAGGATGGGAGAAAAGGGATATATATAGGAGTTGCTTTTGCTATGCATGAAATGCAACACCCTGTTCCCACATGGTGACGCACATCAGTCGGTCCAGATGGTGAGATGGGTTGGGTTTCTGCCTGGGGCTGCCACGCAGGCTTCATTTGCATTCCTCTGCCCAGTTGTTCATGGAAAAGCATCCTGGCAATGCACAGCCATTCACACAACTGTGCTCACCTTCCCAAGCACAACCTTCCATCGTGGTACCAAATGTCGGGAGAGTTTTTCTGGCATGGGGAATGAAAGGAGCTGGCTCAAGTTCAGGCTCCAAATGGAGCCCTCTGGGAGGTGTCACCAGGGATGTAGAAATAGAAAATCATCCCAAATAAAGTGTTCATTCACTCTGTGCTGCTACAAATAGCCTTGAGTTTGTGTAAGACACGTTCAAAATTCCTGGAACTCAACCCTGGAAGAGCAACTTCTGCTCCATTGTAAAAGATTTGCCATACCAAACCCTTTCTAGTGGCTGATCCCTGGCCATGTACTAGCAATCCCATAACCAGTTTTCCTTGTTAGGGGCTAATAGTGAGCATTAATCTGTGGCATGTTCAGCAATTGTGATTGCTATTGCTGCAATTAATCCCATTTGAAAATGTTTCATTTAAGTGATTGTATTAATGGGCCTAAGTTTTAGCTGTTTGGTTCCTTTATTTTCTATCTATACATTTACTTTAAAAACAATGCAAGCATATGGAAAAAGAAAGTATTAGTGAAATTAATAGCATTACAAATATATATATAACAGTGTACATTCTTAAAACCTATCAGCATTTTGAAGAGGCTTTTCAAATGTACATATAATTTCATCTAATAAATACATTGCTTTTAACTGTCATTCTGCCTGGAGTGTAGCTTTTAGGCTATTCTTGCTAATATCCATGGAATTTGCCTGAATAATTTCCATTCGTGATAGTGGAAGTTAGGAACTGTGTGTTAGACTCTAAAGAAGAACTGTGTCTTTAAGAAGGGAAGATTTAAAAAAAAAAATAAAAAAAATCATGAAAACTGTATCTAGAGGAGATTGAAGCTACATTTACTACTGTATTAGGAAATGTTTAAGTGAACAATTCATATCAGGGAGATGGTTTATCCTCTGTGTTTTGCTTCTGCCCTGAAGTGCAGTTGATCATTCCACCTTAACAAGGTGCAGTGATTGACAGGTAGAGATGTTGCACAGAGCAGAAGGTGGGAGTGTGCTCTATTGGTTTGTGCTTGTACATCCTGAGCACCAATTACTGTCACTGCTGCCAGCCCTGATGTGTTTATCAGGATGAGTTATAGCAGAATATATGTACACAGGCAGTTTGTATGCTGGATGACCACCCCCTGTGATGTAAAATATGAGAGTCTGGGAGCTACCGTTTTATAATTCATCAGGTTCAGCAACTGAATGTTGTTGGTTGGCTTAGTTATAAAGGCAAGTGTGAACTGAACAGCAGACAGGAGCATCTCGCATTAAGAGTCCTGCGAAGCTGCATTTGGTGCCTGGGCTCTGCTTTTGTTCAAGTGAATTCAGTCCTCGGTGAGTGATGGGGGTTCTGTTGAGCTAAAGCTGTTATTATATAAGCTGGGGAAACCTGCCTGCTAGTTTTATGTGTATTTTGCTGCTGGAAGTCCTTGTGTGTGGTTGTATTTAGATTTTGCAATATTTTCAGTTGTGTACTGGCACAAAATGAGATGAAAAGAAAAATGCAATGATGAATTATTCACCATAGTGCTGTGAGGATCTCTTCTAGCTAAACTTACTTTCCTTTAGTGAGTGTGTTGGGGGCTCAAAGAAGCTACAGAGGAGCAAATCTACCTGTCATTTAATTGCTTTTATTAGCAGTTAAAGAGAGTGATAGCTGTGGCTTTTGTAACGAGAGGAAGAAAAAGATAAAATCAGAAGCATTTACAAATTCTTTGCTTTTATCTACATGTGGCTTTTCAGCTGCAGCATGGAATCTTTTGTGTGCGGCGAGGGGCTGCAAAGAATTTATGTTGTAGAGCTTTTTAATTAGATAATCAGTAAAATGGTAGCATCTCTCTGTTTTTGTGGTAATATGCTTAGTATCACATTAAAATGAATGATTCCCCATCTTGCATAACAACGGTGCTGAAATATGTGTAAGATGAAAGGCAAAGGGAGACTTTGAAACAAACTGTGGGAAACATGATGTGGCACAGCTCGGCAGGGAAAGGTGTATTTCCTATGCTTTACTTTCTGAATTTCAACAGCTTTAGATTCTTTGCTCTAATTATCACTTGCTTCGTTATGACCTCTGCATCTTTTCAAGCAAGCTCCTTAAATATCTGTCTGTGTTATCTTGCCAGTAACCTTTAATGATCCGTAAGCCACCAATTATTTTTGTTGTTGCTTTAACCAGAAAGCACTTGAAAAGCAGAGTTTATGTTAGCGTTGCTGCACAGTACCTGTATCCCTCCTCAGGAGACGCAGGTGGTCATGAGTGACAATTTTACTTTTCCTTTTACCAGTAGCAGTATTACCAAAGGGACAATCATTGCTCCTGTCTCTTTGTGCCCATTCTTTTTTTTTTTCCTTTTTTTTTTTGGGGGGAAAAATATCAAGAGGGCTTGGCAGAACAACACCTGTTGTCCTACTGTTGTATTATTAGTAACTGGAGAGAGACACTCTCTTCCAGAGACCTCTCCTCTGGTATCAATCCAAAGTCTTCAGTCAATAATGATTTAGACTTGTATTGTGACTTTTCATCTAGAAATAACCTATTCTGTGGGTTATACCAAAAGCACTGAAGCTGCAGGACAGATCCTGTTTTAATAAGGTATCTCATTTTAGCATAATTTTTATTTAAAGAGGAGGGCTATTGGCAAAGTGGCCTCTGCCACTGACTTCCTTTGCAGAACAGATTTGCACTTATTCTTTATAAATCATAAATTTAAAACTCAGAATTTCTTGAGAAGATTATTTTCTGGCAGCCTAACAGACTAGACCCTATTTCTAGGAAAAAGTATATACCTTTCTCAGCAGTGCTTTATTTAAGAGCATTTTGCTGCTTTTTAAGCATTCGCAGCTATTTTCAGTGACCCCTGTGCTAGCAAATGAGATTTCTTGAAGTGTGAGCTTCTGGCTTTGCAAGTTCTCCTCCTTTCAGAAATCTGTGATATTGCACCCATCTGTCTAGGCATTTGTATTGCATGGATTGCTATGCTGTCAGCTCAGTGCTCAGAACATTAGCCATGTAAATCTATGAACTGCATCTGAGGAAGTATAAATTAGGACAGGAAAAGCAGCCCTAAAAGGAGACAGTTGTGATATGGGCATATGGCTCTTGTGGGCACCAGAGCTCCAGACTCACTCTTTGTTGTAACACAATAAATTCAGGTACCAACTAGTTCAGTCTGCAGGCAGTGGGATGGAGACTTGGGCACGGATGAGACCAGCTTCCTGATGCTTGGTCCAGATAAGAGCGAGGCCAACCAAATGGAAATTAGCCAGAGGTTGTGGAAAAAAATGGTTTTTAATCCTGGGTGCATGCTTACTGCTCCTTTGTGGTAGTAGTGTTTGTGAAGGGAAAACAGCAATGACTAAGAATTGTATTTTTAATCCTCTCTGGTCTGAAGAACACAGTTGTTTTATGTGGATATGAGTTGGCTGCTGTGATCCATGCCTCTCACCTCACAGTAAGCGACTGTGGTGCTCTCCATGGAGCCCTGTGCCTGAAATCCCCTTAGTTACCAGAGCTGGTCTGTGTGGTGAGTACAGGTACAGCCTGCTGGAAATGCACTACCCCACGACTCCAAGAAAGATGTTGGTTTCCTGTTCATTTCTGAATAGAGACAATATTTTGGGGCTGATGTGTAACATTCTTGAGTAGCAGAAATCTGCTCTCCAAGAGGAATCTCTCTCAGCTTTTGCCTTCTGGCTACAGCTGAAACCAGCCAAGGCACCTATGTTCAGATTCTCTATTGCATAAAATGCAGATGCCTGAGGGAAAACGTCTTGGATAAAACACCTTAGCTTTAGAATTGACCTTTTTTCTTATTTCTTTGGTCTGAAATACCTTAGGTCTGCTGACCTTCAGGTTTACTGTGAAGTCCCATGGCTGGTGATGGTCAATATTTCTGCTGGATATATATTTTTGGATAACCCAGCATTCCTCTTTGGAGAGTTATTTTTCAGTTTGCAGTAAATACAGCTGAAGTGTCACTATGTAGTTGTGCAACTGTGCTTTTATTCCATGTCAAAAGTGACTGGGGATTGCAGCAGTAGTGTCCAAATGCACATTTGTCTGCATGTAACACCTCTATTTTGCTCTTTCAAGCACACATGCCCACAAACAAACTGTTCTGCTAAATAAAGGAATCAATGTCTAATACTGAAGTCTCAAGTACAGAAAGCTCTAGTGCATAGTATTAGAATTTAAAACTATTAACTCTCTTATTAATTTTAAATCTCTTTACTTTTTATTGAAGAGACTGGCAGCGTGCTATCTTGCAGCATTCCCAGATTTGAATTCAGTAATCATGCCACTCATGAAACTAATCCATACAGACACCAGCAGTTGTAGTGATGTGCTTTCAGGGAGAAGTCCTTGAGTGGAGAAATGGATTGGAATGATAGGTTAGATATGTACTCTTCTCAGTGCTGGGAACAGCCAAAACAACTTCATGGCAGGGAAGAGGCAGAACATAGTAAAAAAAAGGTGATATGTCAATGAATAACAATATGGGGGTTTTAATGTCCAGATAGATTGGCAGAGAAACACCATTTTAAAAGATTATCAAACATTCGGTGCATGAAAGGAACAAATTTGGTAATGGAAGCAGAGAGAGAGCCTGTTCATAAACACAATGTGCTCTTTGATGTTGGTCTGTTCTTTCTGTTGGGAGAGAAATGCATGCAAAGGCCTAATCCTGCAGAATAGATTTCTTTCGATCTTGTATGATTGTATAAACAGGAGAGGATATTCAAGTTACAAAAACAATAAATATTAAGTTTAGTTTGTTCATGGGTGCAATTGCTTGGTTTATTAAGTGAGTGGAACATCTGCCGCATCTTGTGTCCAGTTCTGGGCCCCTCAGTTCCAGAAGGACAGGGACCTACTTGAAAGAGTCCAGCACAGAGCCACAAGGATGATGAAGGGAGTGGAACATCTCCCTGCTGAGGAAAGGCTGAGGGAGCTGGGTCTCTTTAGCTTGGAGAAGAGGAGACTGAGGGGCGACCTCATTCATGGTTACAAACACGTTAAGGGGGAGTGTCAGGAGGATGAAGCCAGGCTTTTTTCAGTGATGTCCAGTGATAGGACAAGGGGCAATGGATGCAAACTGGAACATAGCAGGGTCCGTGTAAACATCAGAAAAAACTTCTTTCCTGTGAGAGTGACAGAGCACTGGAACAGGCTGCCCAGAGAGGTTGTGGAGTTTCCCCCTTGCTGGATACATTCAAAACCCACCTTGAACATGTTCCTGTGTGATGTGCTCTAGGTGATCCTGCTCTAGCAGGGGGGGGGTTGGACTAGATGATCTTTTGAGGTCCCTTCCAACCCCTAGGATTCTGTGATTCTGTGTGATTTGTCTGTCCTTGAAACCTCCCAGGTGAGGAGGGTATGCTCCAGGGTAATAGAGCTGGTTCTGGAGAATTCAGCATCAGAAATCAGCAGGAGCCAGCTGCCAAAGAAGCTGAGTGATACAAATGCTCTGCTTTGTGTGTGGCATTTGAGGTAGTCTACATGATTGACATTAACGGTATTGGTCAAAGGTTCCTTGTCAAGAGACAAGCTGCCCTTATCAGCTTTCAGTGGAGTTTCTCTGTGTTTTAAGGGATCATGCATGGTCAGAAGGTTGCTGGTTGCTATGACCGTGTCTCCATCAAGGAATAGTTACAGTGTACGGAGAACTTGCTCATAAATAGAGGTGTAGGATTCAATTCTCATCCAGGATCAGACCTAGTAAAGGCCCTACAACTTTGAATCCTGCAGTCACGTATTAGATCTGTGTCCCAAGAATGAGCTGCATGGAAAGTCACTGTGCATTACTCTAGATGAACAGTTTCCATCTTTTTCGTATTGTGACCATGTGTAGCCATACATGAAAGTGGCTGTAATCCCATCAGGTTGCAGGCTGAAGCACTCCTAAATATCTGCTGTTCCTCTGGTCTTCAGTATTCTGTCTTGTCTGGAATCATCAAAGGCAGAGAACACTTCTCATTCCACTTGCCTGTGTACAAACATCTGCAGCAGATTAATTCATTAAGAACAGTGGGGTAGTTCTGTCCTCTACAAACTTCAAGTTACTAGTTGGTGGCCTAAAGCTTAATAATGAGATAGTTTTTCTTTTGTATTACAGGGAAAAAAAAAAAATGGCATCACCATATTTCTGCATGGGAATTACCAACATGCTCACTCAAAAGTCACCCTGATAAAATGGCAGTTTGAGTTCTCATTCCCAGAATCATAGAATCATAGACTCATAGAATGGTTAAGGTTTGAAGGGACCTTAAAGATCATCAGGTTCCAACCTCTCTGCCATGAGCAGAGACACCTCACACTAGACCAGGCTGCA